TGTTTCACATTAAGCTTTTCGATTATAAAAATCAAATCAAATCAATCTAAGTCGATCAAATACAAATATGTCAAATCAAATTCGATCAAATGCAAATATGTGCAAACAATATCGATCTCAGATTTTTATTTAAACCAATTGTTTAGTTTATTTAATATTAAGTGTTTGTATATGTGAAGTAAAAATTATTTATAAATTTCTAAATAACATTTTACAAGATTAGAAAACAAGTATAAAATGACGAATAAAAATTAAATTACTAAGCTTCTTTGATGCAATATATTGAGTTAGCGGAGGCGATAATTGCAGTAAAGATTGTAACAATATTATTAGCTAATTATACATTGCAATAATATATTAATAGAGATTATAATAATTATAATAATATAGTATTATTATTTAATTCATAATAAATCAGAGCAGTGGAAGCTTTAGCAATAAATAAACTGGTATAAATTCATCATTGTTTTATATTTAATTGAAATATTATTAATAAAAATTAAACCAAAGAGGGCTTTACTATAAGAAATTTCCTATCAAATTACGGTAAAAACATCAGGAACTTAGCGTGCCGGTACGTTTTACTATAAAATCCATTTTTACTGGAACATGTTACGGAACAAAAAGTTTAATATACCGTAATTTTTACAGTAATAATTACAATAAAATCACTAAATCACTCTAATTAAATAATTACCGTTGAAAAATTAAGGTGCGGTAAAAAGGATTTTTTAATCTGTTAGCGGATTAAGTACCGGCACTCAAAGTGCCGGTACTTAATACCGTAATTTGATTTGGTTGGAATTTTTTTTACAGTATATGCTAGCTTCTGATGAATTTATACAAATTTGCAATATATTAATCGAAAGAAGAAAAGAAAGAAAACACTAAAACTCTAAAATACACATGATTTAGGCAAAAAAATAAAAAAGTGCTTAGGTACCAAACTTGGCATACTGGAGAACTATATTGAAAAGGCAACCTAACAGCAATTGTCATACGGAGTAAGGTGTGCGAAGTAAGGTGTCATATAAAGTGCCATACGAAGTAAGGTGGAGAATACTGAAAGAGCTATTGATAAGACTCGGACCGGCTAGTGGTCATTGCTCAAGTTGCTTTTGTTTTTATTGTTACTGAATAACGACACACATTTAAATGTTTAAAAATATCGAACTATAACAATTGTTAATAGATTAGATTTTAGATGTTTAAGCACTCAACGGAGCGAAGGTAAGTAACTACATTTTAAAAGGTTTGACTAAAGAATCCAAAAGGAGTTAAATGGAAAACGTTGAAAATAGTAGCTCTACACAATTTGCCGTAATTACTTTTCCAAAGGTGATGATTCCTTTAGAAATTTTCCGAATATCCAATAGATAATAAAAAATCTCAGAATCATCTTATTGCCAGCATTGAAATTGAGTCGTTTTCACATAAAACGTTCCACTGGAAAATTTGATAATGTGGCGCCATCATTATATTGCCCCAAGTTATTAAAATAAATATGCATTATAATTGCACTTTTGAAAATAATGTTAATCAAAATAAAAAGATAGATATAATTTATCATGTTCAAAAGTCGTTTAAAAAACCCACTTTTAGCATTTTAGATGGTTAGTTAAAGATAAGAGAATTTTTTATGAAATAAGTAATTATGATTGATAATAATAATAAAAACATCAGTGTTACACCCATACTCTTAAGAAAAATAAAACTCTATAATTATCTAGTATTACACCCAGCGATCTGAATTTACTTTCGATTGTTTTACTGCCAATTAATTTTACTCTTAACTCATCTCAAAGTATTCACGCAATTTTCATTCAAGAATACGAACAAGAAATTACGACAAACTATTCAACAGGTATTTGAGAGTCACTTAACTTTCATTTCATTTGTTTTCAATTTGAATTTTCATTTTCGACATAACCTGCGGCGACTTTTTGGCGATATTCCAAGATTTAAAATCTGGTTTTCCTTTTCTCACTGTTGAGAAGTAATTTTTTTTTCAAGGTGAAGAATCAATTACTATTTATATTTTTACCTCCTTACTAATTACTCATTGAAACGTGAAAGGATTGTTTAATTTATCACATCTAAGAATTTTCTCACGGTCTACAAATAGTATCTCATATATGCTTGGGTGCCCAAGGATAATGTTTGTCCATTTAACTGTTTTGCTCTTCTTTTAATATCCATTCAATGTCCATTAAACTGGTCTTATAAGTCGAACTTGGTATCAAAAAGAATGCACTGATTCATACAAATTCAATAAAATTTAAAAATTTGTTTTTACGAACTGCTATTTATTATATTCAATTTTATTATTCATCAATAGAGCCTGGTAAAAAAAAAGAATGCCCTCATTCAGGCAAATTGAAACAAATTTAACAATTATTCTGAAACAACTGCTTCGCTAATTATTATTCCAATATTGTTACTTAATAGAGCTTTATGGGAAAAATAATGCACTGATTCAGTCAAACTCAAACAAATTTAACTATTAGTCATGAACAACTGCTTAGTTATTTATTATATATCATTTATTACTCATTAATGGAGCTTGAAGTAAAAAAAAAGAAAAATAATACACTGATTCAGCCAAATATAATGAAATATTAACATTTAAATATGAACAACTGCTTTGTGAATTATTATACTCAACTTTCTTCCTTGTGAATAGAGTTTGATGAAAAAAAAGAATACACTGATTCTGCCAAATTTAATCAAGTTTAACATTTATTCATGAACAACTGTTTTGATATTTATTTTATTAAATGTTCTTACTTATTAATAGAGCGTGTTAAAAAAAGAACGCATTGAAAATTTGCCTTAAAATTTTATCCCACATATTCCTAAATCCAATAAGACAAGATAGCTTTCAATCAAATTCAACTAAATGTCACAATTATTAATGAAGAACTGTTTCTTTCATTCAGTTTTATTACTTATACTATTGTTGAACTTGATATAAAAAAAAACACACACCGAAACGTTGCTTTTAAATTTTACTGTAGCTTCTTTTTTCCAAAAAGACTAGACAGCTGCTCTGCTAAATGCAACTAAATTTAAGAATTATTTACTGTTAAATTTAGTTTCAACTGTTCTTCTGATGATTCCATGATATTACTCATTAATAGAGCATAATAGAAAAAAGAAAACACTGTTTTTTAAATTTTTACCTTCAGCTTTTTTTATCCAACAAGATAAGACAGCTATTCAATCAAATTCTACCTAACTTAACAATTATAATTCATATGAATTTAAATTTTACTATATACTAAATTAAGCATAAGCACTTCCCTAAAACATCATTTGTTGAAACTTCTCCCAGATAGAAAATAGTACAAAGAAAAATAGTCCAATAATAGAAACTATCATACATTTAACCTTATTTTATTTTTAAATCTTTAACCGAAAATTTTACTGTAGCTTCCTCTATCCAACAAGACTAGACAACTGTTTAGTCAAATTCAACTAAATATAACAATTATTCTTTTTTAAATTTCGTTTTACACTTTATTCAGTTTTATTACTCATAAGTAGAGCGTGATAGAAAAACGAAAACACTCTTCTTAAAATTTACCCAGCAACTTCCTTTAACCAACAAGATAGACAGCTATTTAGACAAAATCAACTGAATTTAACTATTATAACAGATCCGATTATAATGTCTGCTACAGTACTAAATTAAATATAAACACTTTTCTAATTGAACATTACTTGTTGATACTGCTCCCAAATAGAAGTTAGTACAAAAAATAGTCCTATGATCAAAAATTAACCGCTCATTTATTTGACCTTATTTACTCCCCATCAACCGAAAGCAGGTCATCAATATATTCCTTGAAAAGCTTAATGAAGTATTACATCTAATTCTTTGTGCTTAAATTATTAGGAGGACCCGAAAATAATGTCGTTTCGGTTGAATATGATATTTGTTAACAAGATTTTATTTTTAATCAAAAGCGTCGCTAGCAACAACCTTTCAATGTCGGATAGAAAATGAATCGAAATGAATCGAGGAAAAAAATGAATTGATTATTAAGACTAACCAATTTTTTATCAAGAATCTATTTTTAATCAATAATGTATTCACCCTCGTTAGCAACAACCTTTCAATGCCGGATCGAAAACGAATCGAAATGGATTGAAAAAAATGAATTGATTCCTGAGAATTACGAATTTGCTATCAAGATTCTATTTTTTAACAAGAATGTATTCACCCTCGTTAGTAACAACTTTCCAATACCGGATCGAAAATGAATCGAAATGGATCGAAAAAAAAATGAATTGATTATTAAGACTAACGAATTTGTTATCAAGATTCTATTCTTAATCAATAATGTATTCACCCTCGTTAGCAACAACCTTTTAATGCCGGATCGAAAACGAATCGAAATGGATTGAAAAAAAATGAATTGATTCCTGAGAATAACGAATTTGCTATCAAGATTTTATTTTTTAACAAAAATGTATTCACCCTCGTCAGCAACAACTTTCCAATACCGGATCGAAAATGAATCGAAATGGATCGAAAAAAATGAATTGATTCGTGAGAATAACGAATTTGTAATCAAGATTTTATTTTTAATCAATAATGTATTCACCCTCGTTAGCAACAACCTTTCAATGTCAGATCGAAAACGAATCGAAATGGATCGAAAAAAATGAATTGATTCTTGAGAATAACGAATTTGTTATCAAGATTTTATTTTTAATCAATAATGTATTCACCCTCGTTAACAACAACCTTTCAATGCCGGATCCAAAATGAATCGAAATGGTATCAAAAGAATGAATTGGTTTTTAAGACTAACGAATATTTAATACACCGAAACGACATTACGTTCCTGTCCCCCTAACATCATCAAAAAATTCTTAATAATGATTTTGAAAAGCATTTTATACAATTATTTAAATTTGGCACCAAATTTTTAGTTGCCTTAGTACTATTTTAAATCGAATTCTAACAAATAATAAATAAACAAAGCATTTACCTTCATTTGCCTTATCCAAAATTTCTTCTGAAGTGTTCTCAGAAACGTCCTCTTTACCCTTACCATATTTCCATTTATAAATTACACCCAGCAAAAACAAGGGCAATAACAAAAATGTATAAGACACACACAGATAGCTAAGTATTTCATTTTCTTCTAAGGAACTTTCACACAACAACAGTTGTAGTCTAACCACTTGAGAAGGCCTTTCAGCGGGTGATGAAATCCAATAACTGAATGAAGAGTTACCACTTTTAGTCGCAAGATCAGTATAAAATGTTTTACTATCACCATCATGCATGAAGTAGCTCCGGCACAAAATGAGAATCGTAACATATGATGCAGAAAAATAAACAAAGGCTTTATGTTTGATGAAGGATAAAATGTAATTGTTGCTCTTTATTCTTAGTGAGTATATGTATTCTAATATCCAATTTATAAAAATTAAGTTATGGAGAGCAACTGCTATCATACAAACAAATTTTTGGGCCATACATAAATACCCACTGTCCAATACAGAACTGACTAAATCAGAACTAACAAGGAGAAGGATTAAAGATTGTGGTAGTAGACCAAGAAGATATGTTATACCCGCAAGGGCAAAGCACCGCTTTTGGCAATCTTGGACAATGTTTCGTTTGGAGATGGCACGTAGCTGTATCCACATACCGCAACATATCAGCACCAGGCGGAATATGGCTATACCTGTTGCTAAATGTGAGATCCAATCCATGTTGAGTTCATGCGTTAAGACATTTAACGTGATATCTAAAATAAAAATGAAATTATTTTAGAATGTATCTAAAATACTTTATAGAAACTACATGAGCAATGGAAAATGAAATATTTTAAATAACCTTTGATCTAATAATCGGATTATTATGTTCTAGGAATCAATCTCAATGGCTCGATGCTGTGAACTCAAATATGCTAAATCACAAGTACAGACGATATTTTAAGTTATAAAATCAGACACAAAAACGTACTTTCTCTGAGTAAACATACCTTTTTTAAACGGATTCAGATTTCTGACTCCAAAAAAATAGGGGGGTAACCGCAATCTGAGAAATATGGTCCCAATGGTTTGGTCAGGAGAGCGCTCCAAAGTTTGGACCCCTTAATCTTAATTTTATTTTTTTTTGTATTCGAAAATTTCGAAAATTTTCAAAGCGAATTGTAAAAATTTTGCACACAATTCTGAAATTCTGTTTTCCAAAGATAATTCCATGCAAAACTAGTTTTTAGTAAATATTTATTATATTATGTAATTATGTTATTTCATTTAATAACAGTTGAAATTTTGGGCATAGAATTTTTTGCATAATTTAAAAGAAGGAAATTTTGCATGGCAAAATACGAAGCTTGAGCAAAATTGCTCGAATAGTTCCTGAGAATATTAATTTTGAGTATCTGACTTATTTGAAATTCAATTTCTCAGGAATTATTCATCCGGTTTCGATCAAATTTTGTATTTTGCAATGTAAATTTACATTCTTTTAAATAATGCAAAAATTGTATACCATTCAATTCAAAATTTTGACGTCCATTATTGAATAAAATAATAAAAAATACTAAATATTTTTTTGCATGGAATTTTCTTTGTATAAATGAATTTTGTAATTGTACGCAAAAACTTTTGAATTCCTTTAAACATTTCTTGAGATATAGCAAAATACCCAGAAAGTAAAATAAAGTTACGGGGTACAAACTTTAAAGCTTTCTTCTGACCAAACCATCGGGACCATGTTTTCCAGATTGCTGATACTCCTTATATTTTCGAAGTCAAAAACCCGAATCCGTCGAAAAAAATGTTTTTTTTTTTAGAGAAAGTGCGTTTTTCTCCTGACTTTATAACTTTAAATATCGTCCTCACTGATTAATTATCATATTTAAGGTCACCCCCTTGAGTCATTAGGATTGAGTCCTAGAACGTGAAAATCCGATCATTAGATCAAAAATTATTCAGGGTGATACTGAATGAAGTAAAATAACAAAAAAAGTGTACTCAAATATAAATAACAAATAATGTAACAAAAGTATTTAATTACTAATGAAGTAAGTGTTTTATTTATGCTGCTCGAGTATTTTGCTTGACACTTATAAATTTTAGTGTTTAAAACCTTTATATACTATAAATTATTAACCTGAAAACATGAAAAAAATTGTGTCAATTTGAAAAGTTGAGAATCTTGAAGTTAAAACGTTTATCATTCCATTTCTATACAAGAGTAATAGAGATTTAGCGATAAATAGCTTTAGAACATACACGTACTATCCTGCAAGTTCACGTACGCTCTTATAAAATTGAGTACGCGTTGCTTTAAGAAATTCGATCATGAACGATTTTAAAATATACCTCCGTGAATATACGAGATGATGCTAAAAAGTGCTGAAAATAGAGATTTCGTACTTTAATAAAGCATCTCGAACGTTCGTGTACGCTACAATACATACTGGAACGTGCGTAATATTAAGTATGTTCTGAAGTAAGTGCGCAAGTCTGCGACCAGATTCTCCACTATTGCTCATCCTCAGTAACTTAAGAATATTCGTACGTGGATGCATAAATGGTTATTCGTCTAATATTGTTTAATCTCTATAATTAATGTTAATCATTCTTTTGAAATTTTTTATTCTACAAACTTAAAGTTATTAATTTAATGACGGTTTTATATTTTTATTTATTTTTTACAGTAGTTTTTGATTTGTAACAATCTCTAAAAAATTTTTAACTGTTTTTTAAAAATAATGCTTTATTATTTTTTTTACAAAATTCAATAAACATTATTAAAACATTTTCATTCTAAAAATGTTGATTTTGCCAGAATAATACAAATGGTTTTTTTACGCTTTGCATTCGTTTTGAATAATTTGTAACCCTTTTTCTAGTAGAACCTCATATAGTGATCATTTTTTTTCAAAACACTTGTTCCAATGAAAAAATTATCCTATTTAGTCACATTTTGCACTTTTATTTCCCGTTTAATATCATTGATAAGTAAGTAATGATCATGTAATAAAGTTAATATGTAAGAAAATTTAAAACACAATTCAAGTAAGTGCTACTTATTTGTATTTTATCGTCAATTTCCTATTATTTTAATGATTAAAAACATTTTCTGCTACAATTAAAAACCCCAAAACTCATGATGCATAAAAATTCAACCTTATTTTTAAACTGAACTGAACATAACTAAATCAATAACCCATAATAAGGAAAGGAATTACTTAATTTTTTTTTCTGTTATATTATTGGTAAAAGAAGTAACTTCCATTTTTTAATTTTTTAATCATTACAATGTTTAAGAAAATATATAAATCCTTCCTTGATTTTAGTTTCAGTGTCTAAGAAAATATCTAAATCATCCATTCTTTCATTTTCCTAATATTTTTATCAAAATACAAAAATCCCTTGATAAACATGAAAAATTGTGGTTTTTTCCGAATTCCATTGTTAAGCAACAAAGCAAACTCCCTTTAAGAGGTCACATGCAAAATAAAATCAACTAAAAAAAGAATAGAGTATCATAAAATATGTTTTTATTACTTAGACCTATGCCTTTCAAATGATTGATCTGGATGCAAAAATTGTGCAAGACAGTCATACAGTTATATGACTTTTATAGCCGTGTTTGGCTATTTATACCGCCTTTGAACTATAGCAATGTATTCTAACCCTATTTCGCTTTATTATAAGATAGATATAAAGTTTTATAGATCATTAAGTACTGGAAAAAAGCTTATTGTTTGAAGAAAGTTAAGATGAGTTTTTTGTTGTATGGTATTATAGAACTTTTATTTATTTTGCATAGTATGATAATTCGAGGAGTTTTGTAAAAGGTTTGTTGATTTAATCTTAAGTATTGGTATTGTATATGACTTTTTTGAAAGATTTTAAATTGATTGGAATGCATAAATCTTTTTTAAAAAGTTTAAAAAAAGTACCATCACGGATTTTAACACGTATTTTAATTTAGTAATTTTATTATTATGATTTTTTAAAAGTCGACACAAAATTATTTTGATTTAAAAAAAAACGTGATGAGCGAAATTGTTATCATTTTTTACCAGTTTTTGAAACATTTGAAATCAATTACACTAGCGAACAATTATTTTCTTTTGTTTTTTTTTGCATGGGAGTTTTTAACGGATCTTCTATATTTTAACGTAGCTGATTTCAAATCTGCAATCAATTTATTTTTCTCTCAAAAAATGGTAAATGCGGTGAAATCTGGTAATTTTATCATGATACCATAGAGCATGACATATGTCATGCTCTATGGTATCATGATAAAATTACCAGATTTCACCGCATTTACCATTTTTTGAGAGAAAAATAAATTGATATTAAAACCATTCATTCGGTTCAATTTACTTTTCAGTTATGTATTTTTCGCAAAATGTGAAGCAATAAGCGCTAGAATTTTTAAAAACCAAAATTTTCGATAAACCGCATAAAAAAATTACCAAATAAATTATTTAAAAACCGTATATTTCAGTTTTATTAACAGGATTTAAGTTCTTTTTTTACAGAAATGGCATTACCATATAGTGAGGTAATTTTACCAGAATTTTTTCTCCCTATAAAAATTTAAATTAAATCGCTAATAGGAAATGCGGATTTTATGCCCTCTGAATGTTAAAATTTACTTATCTTATATAATATAAATAATTTCAAGATCAAATGATGCCAAAATGTCAAGTTAGTTCAGAAAAAAGAATCATGACTAAGGAAAAAAAAATCCAAAAGTGACCTTTTCACTGCTTATTATATTCGACGCTTTCACAAAGCTTGAAACTTTTTGAATATAAGAAAATAAAGAGAGCAAAATCTGTTTGAAAAGATTTCTAAAGACAGTAATACGATCTTTTCTTTGTATCTACTGACTTAAGTCCACTAAGTTTTGTGTTCTCTTTTTTTAAGTTCATTGGCCTAAGATAGACAAACAATAGCATTTCTAAAGATGAAAAGCAAAGGCTATAAGTCACTCTTATAGAGTTACGAGCAGTATATTTCAATCGTAAAGAGTACTATATAAAAAAAAATCTCTTCCGGAAATCAGTACGAAAATAACAATTACAAATAGTTGAAACGAACATAAATTTTCGAATGTGTAATCAAAGTGTCAACGATAAGAATATTTAGAGGTGAGATTTTGTTAAGTAATTGTGTTGTTCTAACATTCCAATTATCGCGCTTGTCACAATATGTGTAAAAAACAAAAATTTCTTGTAATGCATAAAAGCTTTTTTTATGGAAAAAAAACTTTCAAAACATAAAGAAATGACAAACTACTTAGGAAAACATGTTAAAAGCGAATTTTTAACATATTTTCTGCCAATAAATTATTTTAATGTCATAAATTTTAAATTGTGATTTTTGATAAAAAATGTTTTGGAGTTTCACTTAAAAACAAAAATCACGTATTTGCTGTTCAGTAAGCAAAATAAAAAAAAATCGTTTGATATAATGATTGGAATGACCCTAGGGCTAAATTTAAATGGTGCAAGGGTGTGACTTCAAATTTTGCTAATTAATTAGAGTAGGCGATATTTCAACGTACGTATTTTCTTTGTATTTTCATTTGTTTTGTACTTGTACAAAAACGTTTAAGCATGCCATTTTTTCGAAAGGAATTTTGACCATCAAGATATAAAGAGTAGTCGCAATCTAGGAAATATGGACCCAATAGTTTGGTCAGGAAAGAGCTCCAAAGTTTGAACCCCGTAATGTACTTTTGGGGTATTTTGCTATAGCTCGAGAAATT